TTTTTTTTTTAATAAGCAATAATTTTTGTTGTAGTTTTTGCTTTGTTTGTATTCGTAGTTCTTTGTTTTATTATAAAACATCAAGTTCACATAGAAAAATGAAACAAATTCGCAGAGTTTCCGTAAAATATATCTGGGGGGAGATTTAATCTCTTGTACCAAAAAAAAAAACAAAAGTTTTGAAAAATTTGGTTTTTAGGTTTCAAACCGGGAGCTACGAGCTGTAGGTACCTTACCCGCCAACTGACAACGGTTTTTTCGATAAACCTTAGTAAAATTCAGTATTATAATTTTTTTAGAACATATTTCTTCAGATTTTCCATGTATACCGTAAGGTGTGTCTGCAGCTCTCGACGGATAAGAAACTTTCTTCTATCAAAATTTCTTAAATCAGTATGCAGCTCCTAAGAAATAAATGCTCGTATATTTATTTCCTCAAAAAAATGTACAGCAACCGCAAAGTACTTTTCCAAGAAATAGAAATAATGAAAAATATTTAGGTTAAAATGACCTTAGAACACCTAGGCTAAGAATTGTAGCGCTATGATACTATATGAAATTACTAACTAATGCCTTTCAGGTTAATGAGCTCACTCGGAGACAAACCACTTTTTTGACACTATGAACTTTCCTGATGGCCAAGAGTACGTAATCTTCCCTACGACAAAAATCTTATTTCAAGTAATGAATTAGGCAGTAGTACATAAAAGTCTTTATAAGGAGACACTTGCGTTTTCTGTTACAGGAGAGGCAGGACTTTTCTGTGTTTCACAATAATATTTAATTAAGCTGTGCGATCTCTTAAATATCGTTCAAAGGGTGTCAGCGATATACCTACCGTGCCCTTTCTGGGAAGGATTAATAATTCGTCACTTTTACTATTGCTTTTAATATATTGCCTTGGCAACTACATGAGGTCCATTCTTTAAGGGGCTATTTCGTTCAGAGAGGCCCTTTTCCTTGTATATATAAGTGTAAATGTTACACTGAAAGGACTCCCTGACTCCTTCCGAAGATAAGTGCTCGTTTGTTCTCTGTGGTAGATCGCTGTGCGAAGTTCCGCATGGTATCCTGAGTGGCAAATACATTTGCTTCTAATATCTGTGACTCGTTGATGTGTCTAGGATAGATGACTGACATGCAAATCCATTGATCCATGAACCAACCGGCTTGACTACATTTCATACAAATCTTGCCCTCTCAATAAAAGTTTTGAGTATTTCGAAGTTTTCAAGGCTTTTTCGAGTTTAAGGGAAACCAAATATTAAATTAATTAAATTATATCCTAGGCTATATTTATTTCGGAGTGAACATTTGATTCCAATAAATGAATGTTTGGCGCTTAAACGATTTCTACGTGTGAGATCTACACTTTTACCTTCGAAAAGCTTTGCCGTTGTTTGTCGAGGGGCGACCGCTATTTGAAAACATTTTATTTTGATGTTGCTGGCACCAGAAATTAAACCATGGACGGCACATCTAAGCACTCGGCTACGGCGGCAAGATACTACTCAGATCCGAAAAAGTCTGAAAAAATGCAATAAAACATATAAAAAAATACTTAAAATAAGAAGAAGCGTGGTTTTTTTCGTAGATTTTTATTTGATTTACTTTTGATCTAAAAAAAAACTTTGAACGTATTTTGTTTTGCTCTCATCTAAACAAAAGATATCTTTACTGCTAATAGTTTAATTGTAATTTTTTGTCATTACTTCATACTAGCATATGCATTTTCACCGAATGAAAACTATTTGAAATAAAACCGGTTTAACCGGTTTTTTTTCAGTTTAAAAATCAGGAACCGTTTTTTTTTTCAAATTGCAATTTTTCGAATAACTTGAAAACCGGTTTTGGAAAAAATCGAACACCCTTATAACGCCATGAAAAAGTTGAAAAGAAAGAGCGCCATCTACTAGGTCAATTTTTTGCTAAAGTATATCTTTTTATGGAATTATGAATTTTTTCAACCAAATTGGACTATAAAAACGGATTTTTAAAAAAACTCGACTCTAGCATCTATACAGGTTAATACATGGAACGATTAATTTGTGACCAAAACGTTTGGGCATTATTTCGTTGGTGCTCTAAAACACCCCCATAAAATTGTTCCAAGGTTTTATGCGCGGTTCAATATAATGATTTAAAGGGTAGTTTGCTTTCTGTGACAATATTCATTTATTCTAATATATTTAATATAAATATGTAAGTGAACTCCAAATCAAACTGAGATCGAAAAAATAGTTAAAAAAAACGCGACCTTTAATTTTAGTCCTAATAAAGGTATTCTTATTATTAAATCGACATATATGGAGCCAATGGGCGGTATGCATAAAAACTAAGCAAATGTTTTTTCTTAAATCTCGGACCTTTGACTCGTTTTGTTTTATGCATACATACGTCCCAATATCACCATATTTATTTAGTACGACCCTTAGAAAAGCTTCGTTTACAATCACCCTGTTTATTCAATTAAGCACTGAGCATGTCATTTGTTATTATTAAATTTAAACAGAAGATATTTATACTCACTTAAGTTTTGACGTACACATAAAAGTGCTGCAAATTCTATTTAAATTCAGTTATTCAATCAGTAACAACTGATAAAGTTGCAGCGATTTTCACTAAGATAATGCAAACATAAAAAAATATACACCCAAATTCATAAAAATTAAAGAAAAATTAAACAGCTCTATAAATCGAAACCTTGTATGAAAATGTCACTTTATGAAGTAAAGCAAAAAAAATCGAAAATATGAAAAATATGTGAATTAGCTTTTAATGATTAATTTTGAGCAAAAATTATTATTTTGTTTTTCAAAGCTATTTTTGGTGCAGCTTAACTTAGTAGTGTAACTCAATGATATAACGTTCTTTTAAGTATCCAAACCGTCTAAGTAGGTACTTCAGAAAACCAATACTATTGGAAGAGGGCACTTAAAGCGATTTGAAGGTACTCACACTTGGATATATTGTAACCGTTCTGATCGCATTTAAATTATATACATAAGTATATATAGTATGTGCTATCCAATAATTCAATTAATTTTCTCTCAACTAAAAATTCGACCAGCCTGGTTTGAGTCTGGAGCCTTAGTCTCAGTAAGACACTAATAATATATGTAATAAAATTTTAAAAGAAATATCTACGATTTTTCATCAAGAAGATATTCTTATATTTTGAGGGAATCAATAAAAAAATCGTTTGTTTCTTACTTAAATGGGACGGGTTACATAAATCAAGTGATCGATTTTTGTGCATCTTTTGACCGCCTTAATTATTTTTTATACATCTGCTAAGAGTTTGGTCCTACAGAGGGAAGGGAATGAAGTGGTCACTAAATATATATGTATGTTTTTAAATAAAGATTAATACGAAAAAAATATCAAATTAAACTTAATTTGAGGAGATTTGGTAATTGATACATCGCATCGTGTTTGAACCCCCTAAACCTCCTGGATCTGCGACTGTCATACACAGGCAAATTATTAAGTTTACGAAGATATATACTGGTCTCGTTTTGTAAGAAATATTTAGGGCTATAAAGAAAAAATAAAAAAAAAAAAAAAATGGAAAAAAATTTGCAGAATTTCTAAATTTAAAAAAAATAATCGTAAAAACAAAAACTTATAAAATGTTTAACTAAAATTTTCAGGGGTTATTTTAAGATATGAAATAAAAAAAAAATATGCGAACTGTAAAAAAAGTTATGTTACACTATTTTTATTCAATTTAAATTTATTTTTTATTTACAGTTTGCAATAAAATTTTTTTTTGAAAGTCAAAAATTCCGATCTTTAAAGAACACATTATTGAAAATTTCACTATTTTTATTAAATTTAAATTTATTTTTCATTTACAGTTTGCAATACAATGTTTTTCCAAGTTCGAAAATTCCTATCTTTAAAAAACACATTATTGAAAATGTTAGGCTCTTGTTTTATGATAAGAGGTAATGTATATGTATACATTTTTTTCATTCCATTAAATGTTACCATTTTTTGAAAAAAAAAAAAATGTTTTACTTTTTAGAATACTGTAAAGACATTTTTTGTTTAATTTTGTTCCAAATTATTTTTTCTACTACATTTTATTAGAAAAAAAATATTTCGTGAACAGCCTATGCATGGGTATGCTCAGATTAAAATTCTTAGAATTAAATTTGTTTACTTCAGTGACTTTCTGGTGGAATATAACTTATTTTATAGGGAAATTTCGGTTTAACTCTCTTTAGAGGATAAATTACCTTTACAAAAATGCCAAACCCGTTCATATATTTTATATTTTTTTTTCGGCAAAAATGTTATCGTAGAAAGAAGTTGGCCTTGCTGGTTGAAAACCAACCACTAGAAGAAACTCTTTTCAGCCATCCCTTAAGAAGTTTGAAATCCAACTTGGCTTCGACCGAATTACTGTTCTAAACACTGGCCTGCGGCGATTGAAGTAATTTTTCCTTTTTTGCTTCCTTGAAATTAAAAAAAAGAACTCGGGATATATTTTTTTTAATTTATCATTTATTTTAATTTTTATTCAAAAGTATGTATGCTTATTAGCTTCATTCGATTCAACAATTTTCTTTAAATATAGTACATATTTCCCTTTCACACAACAACAATACATACATACAAGCATTCTATAACATTTTATAAAACTAAATTATTAAACGATGTAACTGTTTATTTAATGTTTACGTAATAAAATTAGAAAAATCAGGAGCAATATATTTTTCTTATATATGTATGTATGTATGTATGTATGTATATACAACACGTTGGCTAAACGCATACTAAGCTTAAATCAATAATAAATTAAAAGTACATATATACAAACATATTCGAGTTGGTTTTTAAAGCCATTTGATAAATAAAAATAAATAGGTAAATGCAAGAAAAAGTACGTTATAATATTACGTGAAATAAATGTGCATGTATGTTTAAAGGAATGCAAATTCTTTTTTGTTGCTATAGATTTTTTTTTGCTTATGTGAATGCATGTACATACATATGTATGTAATGAACTTCATTATAATATTTTGAAAAGATTTTACAGGTACAAAACAACGGTTCTAATTGTATAAATAATATTAAAACTATTGACAACGTGGATGGATGCAAAAGGTATGTATATGAAATATTATAAACAAAAAAAATTACGTGACATTATTCTTTAAGTACTGTGTGTCTATTTGAGATGTTTAGATTTAAATGCGTATTGTTGTTTTTAGCAGGTATAATGCCGGATTTCCACTGGGTATTAAATGACATAAATTTTAATCACAAATTAAGGCATTACAAAAACCGGTGTCATTACGGTAAATATACAAAAATGGTAGAAAATTATTCCAGGAACCGTAACGGTTATGATCTTTATAATAAAAATCATATTTTAAACGTAAAAATTCAATTAAAAAATTGCCGGTGAAACTTATTCATTTGTTCTGTTTTCGTCGACGAATAATCGTTATTTTCATATTTTTATTTTGATAATACATTTTTTATCGTTACTTTTGTGTTTGTTTTATTATAAAAGATCTAAAAAACGGCCGAAAAAATAAAAATAAAAAATATCGATTATTTTTGATTTTTGAATAATCGACATTCAACGATTATTCTTGATCGAAGTAAACAATTTTGCAATGATCTAAAAATAAAAGCCTTGATATTTAACCGTTTTCTTCGTTCCCTGAAATTATTCGTAATTTTTGTCATTTCAATTCCTAGTGGAAATTCGGCATAAGGTCGTTATCAACTTTTTACCTAAATTGTGTTTTTTTTTTTAGTTGTGGAAAAGCACTATGTATTCTTCTGCTATAAGTTTATGGCTGCGTTTCTTTATACATTCCGGATAAACCCATTTCACGACCAGAATAAACAGAATGCCATTGAAATATACGTTTACATATCATCAGGAACGTTTTAAAGAATAAGTAAACAAAAAAGTTTATTCCAAACGTTCAGAATGAATAAAGAAATACAGCCTATATGTAAGTAACATTTTTTTTAAGTGTACATATGTAAGTATTTAGTAGATAGTTAATTTGTGGTAAGTTTTTTTTTGTTTTTAGTTCTATTGAGGTAGGTTCATCATCGAGCTTCGGTTGTTCTTCTGTGTTTTGACAATGTTGTATTAATTTGTGCCATTTTTTAAATTTGCATTTCTTTTATTCTTTTTATAACACTTTGCATTTACTATTATTATTATTATTTCTTTTAGTTTGATTAACAATAATAAATTAATTAAGTAACAGTCTCATTGTTGCATTTTGTGTTGTGTTTTATATTTATGTATGTAAGTACATATATAATAATTATTTTTTTTTTCAATTTTTTTGCTTATTTTTTTCATAATTTGAGCATAATAAGAGGCTTTTTGTTTGTTTTAAGTAAATGTGCCATTTTTTGGTGAGTTCGAGTTAGGTGTGCTTTTATTTTTTAAAGTTATTTAGTAACCAAGCTGAAGGCTAATTAAATTTAGAGAGTCGAATTAATAAAATTGAACGCTTTATCATTTGGATCAGTGACGATCAAAGAATGCCTTAAAAATCTTCTGCCTCGGTATCCGTTTTGGCCTTGACTGATTTCCATTGCTATGGAGAGCTTATTTAACGAAATGTGAGAAAAAATCGTCCTTGGCCGAAGCTAGAATGAATCGGATTACATTTATGTATATAGGTTGGCAATAGCAATTGCCAGATACTTCGTATGTAGATCTATATATATAGCGTGATTTCAAGAAAAGTACTTAATTAAGCCCAGTCGAAAATATGGTAACCCTATCTACTTGTCAATTCTGAACTCAAGAAAGAGCTCCAGCAATTAGTGCAGCTCTTGGTTAAAGGCTTCTTGTCTACACCAGCTCAATTACATTTGAAGGAAAAAACGGCTGCTGACTAATCCCCTCAATGATGGTGCGCGCGCGCTCAAAATTGCTCATGGAGTACCTGACCTTCTTCTAAACTGAGAGTGAAGATTTTCCAATTAGACTTAGAGTGGCATTGCGGAAAACTGCATGGCTGACGAGTTGACTTGAAACAATTTCCTTGGGCAGGGGCGAGTGGGAGCGTCAATGAAAATCTGTAGTTCACTTTTGATGGAATGAGGAGCTTCCAGTTAGCTCAGCGAACGCTGGTTGAAAACTAGGCCATGCGCAAATGTAAGGTCCTTCTCGACTAGGGTGGATCGCGTGGCGGACAAAGAAGATCCTTATGCTTATTAAGAACCAGCTCTCACATTTGGTTGGAGTTCTGCTGACCGATTGGGAGACTGAACATCACATTTCATTCTTACTACCGCATCCACCGCGGCTGGTGGATGATGAGGTGGAATCGCTTCGACAGTTTCTACAAGGCTGCGAAACTAACAAATCATGGTTCGCACTTTATGACCAACGCTGAGAAATGCTGGGAGCTAGGGACGACCACCTAACCTAACATAGAAAAAATTGCAATAGACATAGACACAAAAGTGCTTTCTACGATCTTAGCGATCTCGAAAATAAACCTTTTGCGATTTTTTTTTTTAAATTATAGACTTGAAGAAATCTCTTTTCATACAAAAGCGCACTGCTGGACATTGATTTCGAAGGTAAGTTGGAGGCAAGACTAATTGAGTGTTACTAATGGAGTGTTAGTTGGCTTTAGGAATCGATCCATGATCCATGCAACATCCAGAAATTTTATATGAGAACTTGTTGAGAAACGAATAGATCAATGAAACTTTATACGTAAATTTGTTTTTGGTTGTTATCCAAATAATTACCATCTCGAACTCACTATTTTTTTTTGTTTGCTAATATTGGCAACGGATTTGACTTAACATCTAAATGGGACTAACTAAAATTAAACTAAAATAACTTATAAAAATAACCAATAAATTAGTTTTGCCTAACAACTGGGTGTTAATTTTGTCTTTAAATAACTATTGAACTACTTTACAATGAGTTTTTCAAAATGTATGTACACAAACGATATTCAAAATTTATAAAAAGAAAAAAAAACAATCAAATGTATACATTGCACGCGCTTTCATTCACGCTTCCTGTGGTGCACTCTCACATGCTTTCAAACCTTACGGTAATAATTTGAACTTTCACTAAATTTCTGCTTAAATAACGAATATTTACATAAAGTACAATAAATAAATCTTTTAACGACCATTCCTACATCACACCCAATTCCTTCTCTATATGTTTGTAAATCACCAAGATTATTTACACTACACCAGCGATCAGCTCGCTTGCTGCGTCAGCATATTAACCAGCTCGGTGCGGTCCATGTTGCTTAGCGTTTGCATGTCCATACCGAGCGCTGCCGCAACCGCTTCAATGTTGAGTCCAAAAGAGGTAAGCAGCTCTAGAAAGCGCATCTCCTCGCCGGTTATCGGATTGGTGACCATCGGGCAGGAGTGATTACATTGCGGCCAACTGCACCGCTCGAGCAGGCGCAGCGCGCATTTCTCCGGTACACGTGGTACCCGATTATGTGCAGCGCTGTTGCCAGCGTTGTTGCGCGCGTGCTTTTTTTGCAACTCTAACTGCGTCGCTCCATCGTCCAGCGGTTGTTCGTGTTGCAGTTCGCCTGCAAATTTGCCGGTGTGCTGTACCTTTAATTGTTGTTGCCGTTGTCGTTGCTCTTTGCGTTGCTTGCGCGACTTTTGGCCTGCGGGACGCTGCTTGCGCTCAGCACCTCCATTCGCGTGTTGCTTGTTGGGTCGTTGTTTTTTGTTGGGATGCTGCTGCTGTAACGCTGCTGTGTCCGTGTTGTCGTTAGGCGGCAAATTGTTACTATGCTTGCCCGCCGCACCTTCATTTCGTCGATGTTCGTGACGATTGCGATGCTTGTTGCGATTTCGCTGTTGTTGTTTGCGTAGCCGCCTTTGTTGACGTTCATGACGTAGGCGACGTCGTTCTTCACGCTCCACTTTGGTCAAGCGCGGGCGTGCCCCATTTTGTGGCTCGTTGTTGTTGGCTACTCTATTCTTATGTTGTGTGTGTCTGTGGTGCTTAGGCGGCGTTTGCTGTTCGGGGCGATGGCGCCGGCGCTCAGGCAGCGCCACATGCGTTTGTTGCTTATTGTTGTGTCGCCGGCGCCGCGGGCGCGTAGAATGCTCCCAGCAGCGTAGCGCCGAAGGTAATGAAATATCATCGATTTTTATGTTGATCCAATCGCGTTTCGAAAGCACAGCATGTCCGATGCAAGAAGGCGCAAATACGGCAGTGACATTGTCCAGGGAAGAACGCAGGGCGCCACCCATTTCGTGTATGTAGTTCCACTGTTGCGGTGTGACTGGTGCGCCTACATTGTCGGCGCGCATTTGCGCTTCATCGAAGAGCCATTGGAAGACGAAGAGTGGTGCTGTGAATGAGAGGTGAATAGAATTTTTAATTAACGTTTTGTGTAACTCAAGAAAAGGGTTTTTTTCTTACCATTTAGCGTCGGATACAAACGATAGCCGAAGTAACAGCGCCATGGCTCCGCTGGATACTGTTTGATGCATGCTTCGGGCAGCGAACCTTGCCACAATTTCCAACCCAGCCGCACTGCATCACTAGAGCCGACTGTAGCCGGCGTGTAGGGCTCGCGATCTAGAAACCAACCTGAGTCGCTTACACCGCGCACTGTTACCATTAATTTACGTTCCACCTGCAGATAGTTGGTAATGCGATCCAAATTAAGCATAACGCCCAAGCCACCAGCAGATGAGCCCACCAACAATAGCTCCGCACCTTGTACGCGTCCCAAGCCGAGTGGTATTAGTTCGGCAATCACCTGTCGTATTATTGTAGCGCCCATAAAGCGCCACTCGGCTGTCTCATCGATTGTGGCGCGTGTGCCCGACCATGAATCGCTGCTGCAGTATGGTACGAGCACATGGTTGGCATTATGCCAATAGGGATTCTCATTCGGCAGCGGTGAGAGTATGCCACCAACTGTAAGCATCGTAAAAAAAACAAAACCAAAAATAGAAGTAAATAATAATGTCCTTAAGTCGCAAATGCAGTCACTTTTACTCACCATCACGCGTTTCAGGCCATTGCGCTGACGTCATCAGATGGCGTAGTCGCAACCAACGCGCGCGACATGATCGCTTATCGTAACAATGCCAACCGCCTTCCAGGAATACAATCCATTTCTTCGAGTTGAGATTTTTGCGCAAATAAAAGCCAGCGCGCGAACCATCATTACAAGCTACTGTGGCATTGTTGAGAAAGACTAATTTAAGCGCGCGTCGACTTTCTACAGCAGGCGCTGGTTTATTTGTGCTACTCAAATCGAGCGAGTTCTTTTCGTACTCAGACATAAAAGGCGACGTCACCGTCGTGGCGTTGAGCAGGGAAGCGGATGAAGCGGCGTTGCCAAGTAGTGGTGCGGCGACAGGTGGTGTTGCCACTATGGCGGCCTTAGCAGTGCGACGCGCTGATGTGGAACGCGCGAGTACACTTGGTGGGTGTAGTGCGGCGAAGCAAAGCAATAGGAAAAGGCAGCGCAGGGCAAGCGATATGCTTTGTGTGCTAGGCGCCGAAAAGTAGGCAACGCTACGATGACGATGGCTGTAGTAGCTTTGGGTTGCTGTGGAACATGACTGATCGGTTTGTGGACTGCATTTAAGACTGACCCTAGTTGTGCTGCATGTTGAGGCATGGTCTTGCTGCAAAAGAGAGAAGAGGAAACCGAAAAAATTAAGTAAAAATTATAAGATTGTCAAGGTAGAGTAGCGTAGAGATTCAAGAGCGCAAATGCAATGAAGAAGAGCGCGGAAAGGTAAGCTAAGAGCGTGGACACGCGTGAAAGAGCGCTGCTCATTAAAATAATTTGTAGTGAATGAGTTTCGGCGTGAAAGCCGGCAGGCGCTAGTAAACAACGTAAGAGGTTGTGGTCTATTTTTATAAAATTTTTTTATGTCTCGTCACGTTGTCGTTTTGCGTTCCTTAGCTTCCAATGGCTATACTAGGTATACATATACATATGTATGTATGTAAATATCTGTACTTAGTTTATTTGGGAAGTCTCATCCATCACTTAAGTATATGCACACGCACACTACAAACTACATACATTCCCTTCATCTCAATCTCCATCTTCTATTTACTTTTTTATTTGATAATATTGTCTGCGCAATGTTGTTGTTGTTTGTTTGTTTTTGTTTTTCGTTTTTGTTAAAGTTGCTATTGTTGCTTTCATATGATTGTTTCTTGTACGATGTTTTTT